GTTAGCAAATGTTTGGATTTTACCAATCTGGTAATGGTGTTTGTGTTTAATTTGCCTTTTTCTTATTAAGAGTGAGGTTGAACATCATTCCGTACGTTTAAAAGCCATTTGTAGGGGCACTGGGTGGCTTAGTCAGCTAAGCAGCTGCCTTGGGCTCAGGTCGCCAGCCCGGGGTCCCGGGACCCAGCCCTACATCCGGCCCTCCGCTCAGCAGGGCGCCTGCTGCTTCCTCTGCCTGCCACTCCCTCCCCCGGTTTGTACTTCCTCTGCCAAGTAAATAAATAAAATCTTAAAAAGAAAGTAATGTATTTCCTTTCCTTTGAACTGCCTATAAATGTCATTTGCTACTTTTTCTAAAGGCTGGTCATAGACTTGCTGATCTCTAGGAGTTCTAGGACTGGGAGAGTAGTCCTTTGTGATACAAATCGCAAGTATCTTCTCTCCAATTTGTCATTTGTCTTTTCACTTCATGTAGTTTTCATCCCTGACATTAATTCTCTTAATTGATCCGAGACGTTAATCCTGAGCGTTAGTCCAGTTGTTTCTGCCTCCTAAACAGTTCTGGAATACTGCCTTCCTTCTTTCTACCGCCCCCCCCCCCGCCCCTTCCCTGGGCCAGTCTGCCATGTCCCTCTCCAAAATTACTACATCGATTCTAACCGCTCTCCCAGACATACTTCCACTCTTGTCCTTTCTAATCTACTCTACATTTTGTAGCCAGAAAACTGTTTCTAAAATAAAAACACGATCATGTCAGTTTTTTGCTTAAAACTCTTGGGTGGCTAACCAGGGCTCTTAGTGGGAATCCAATGCCCTTAGATCAGATCCTCCGTGAGCTCCAAGGTCCCCCACATGGTCTGGCTCCTTTTTGTCTCTTTAGCATCATGTCTGACTAGTCCTCACCTCCCATTCCCCGCTCCTGCCATACTGAATTGTTTTCAAGCCCTCCCTTCCAGTAAGCTCTCTCACGTTTAGGCCTTTGCATAAACTGTTCTTTCCTGAGGAATGCCCTTCACTTGCTAAACTTCCACTCAGCCTTCAGACGTCCCTGCCAACAGGAAGCCCTCCCGGACCCCAGTGGAAGAGATTAGGTACTGGGATGCCTGGGTGGCTCAGGGGTTGGGCCTCTGCCTTCAGCTCAGGGCTTGATCCTGGAGTCTTTGGAGCCAGTCCCACATTGGGCTCACATTGGGCTCCCTGCATGGAGCCTGCTTCTCCCTCTGCCTGTGTCTCTGCCTCTCTCTCTCTCTGTGTCTCTCATGAATAAATAAAATCTTTAAAAAAATATTTTATTTATTTATTAATGAGAGAGAGAGAGACAGACACAGGCAGAGGGAGCAGCAGACCTCATGCAGGGAGTCCGATGTGGGACTCGATCCTGGGACCCCAGGATCACGCCCTGGGCCGAAGGCAGGTGGGCCTAAGGCAGGTGCTAAACCGCTGAGCCACCCAGGGGTTTCCCAAAAAATCTTAAAAAAAAAACAAAAAACAAAAGGAAGAGGTTAGGTACTAACACCCCTGTCCTTATGTCAGCACTACTAACGTTACGATTATCTATTTACTTCTCTGTCTCTCCCATTAGGTAGACAAAGTTCAGGAAGGGTAGGGACTCAGCCTGGTTCTTCACTATTGTTTCCTAGTGCCTATCACAGGGCCTGGCACATAATAGGTGCTCAATAAATAGTTGCTAAATTAATTCAAGAAATGATGTCTGATGAATGGCTAGGTGAACATTTCATCTTGGTGGGGGAACCCAGGAGAATGAAGAAAACAGAAAGGTTCTTGACTCCCGTGCAAGAAAGGAAGTAGCCAGTTGCTCCTTCATTCCACCTGCCAGAGAAAGCAGTGGTCTTGACCCTTCCATTTCTCTTGATAATCTCATTGAGCTCTGCCCTAGCTTGTTCTATACCCAGGTCCCAGAGGAATAAGTAAAATACCTAGGATCCAGTAGAGGAAACACTGACCAATATGAGGGCAACTTGTCTTAGCTGTAGCTAAGTCCTAGAGGCTTCCTGAGTGTCACAGTTTGCCCTTTAACCACTGGACCATGGAGAGGTGGGGGCTGGGTTCCAGTGGAGGGCTGGAGCAAAGAGCTATGCTTGAGACAGTCTGGGGCAATGGCTATTCACCATCCAGTGTAAGTATCTGAATTTTTTTTAAGAGTTTTATTTATTTATTCATGAGAAACACACACAGAGAAAGGCAGAGACACAGCCAGAGGGAGAAGCAGGCACCATGCAGGGAGCCCGATGCAGGACCCAATCCCGGATTCTAGGATCATGCCCTGGGCTGAAGGCGGGCGCTCAACCGATGAGCCACCTGGGCATCCCACAGGTGCAGTACCTAATTAATAAGCAGTATGGGATAAGCGGGAGCTGAACAGATGAGGACCAAAGTCAGGTGCTGACAGACAACCAGAACTAGTGTCTTGATTCAGGGGTCACTGCTTACACTCTCACTGATGCAGACTGCTTTAGTCAACACAATTTTGGGGTCCCGGAGGGCCACAGAGAGAAATAAGGATAGAAAACCTTTCCTAGGTTTAGTCTTTTATTTTCTGAAGCCTTGAGCATGGTGTACAGGTTAGATTAGTGACCTCTCTGGTTTCAGACTTTGAGGTGGAATCCGTTTTTTCTTTCTTTTTTTTTTTAGATTTTTATTTATTTACTTATTCATGAGACAGAGAGAGAGAGAGAGAGAGAGAGAGAGAGGCAGATACACAGGCAGAGGGAGAAGCAGGCTCCACGCAGGGAGCCTGATGGGGACTCGAGGATCACGACCTGGGCTAAAGGCAAACACTCAGAACCACTGAGCTGTCCAGGTGTCCCTTTGGGATGGAACCAATTTAGGATGTAATTTGGAAAAGTTAGGATACAAGTAACATTTGTCTGGTCTGACCTTCAAGGATTTATTTGCTCCTTTACTTGCCAATTACTGATTATAAACTTCATGCTAAGATAAGTACAGGGCCCTGGAGATAGAAGTGTACTGCAACACACTGTTTTCTTAAGCTGTGGGTGCTAACTTGTTAGTGGGATGACAAATCACAATCAGATCTGAATAAAAAAACAAAGCAAAACAGGAGAATAGAAAATAACTACAGTGCACTCTGCATAGAACAAGTACTAGGCTAAAAAAATTGTTACAGGGGCAGACCCGCTGGCGCAGCGGTTTAGCGCCGCCTGCAGTCCGGGGCGTGATCCTGGAGACCCTGGATGAGTCCCACGTCAGGCTCTCTGCATGGGGCCTGCTTCTCCCTCTGCCTGTGTCTCTGCCTCTCACTCTCTCTGTATCTCTATGAATAAATAAATAAAATTAAAAAAAAATTAAAAAAAATTGTTACAAATGTGTGTGTGCATACTGGGTCATGATTTAAAGCATATTATTGTGGTCGGAAAAATTTTGAGCCTCTGCCCTAGAAGGTGAGCTCCAAGAGCACAAAGGCTTTGTTGTGTCTCAGAACAGTGCGGGGGCGCGGTGTTGGGGTCTCACTACTGAGCTGGACCAGTGAAGGTTTAACACTGTGCTGCCTTCGGGAAGGTTAGAGTCAGACATACAGGGAAAGGTCAATATTACAGGATTTTCAATACTAGTATTAGTCTGAACCAAATTAAGAACATTGTGTTCTGGGCAGCTGGATGGCTCCTTCAGCCCAGGGTGAAATCCTGGAGGCCTGGGATCGAATCCCACGTTGGGCTCTCTGCATGGAGCCTCTTTCTCTCTGATGGATAAATAAATTAAATTAAAAAAAAAAAAAAAAAGAACACCTTGTTCTGGGGGCGCCTGGGTGTCTCAGCAGGTTAAGCATCTGCATTGGGCTCAGGTCATGATCCCGGGGTCCTGGGATGTGCAGCCCCTGCATGGGGCTCCCTGCTCGGCGGGGAGTCTGCTTCTCTCTCTCCTCTGCCCATCCCTCTGCGGGTGCACTCTCCCTCTCTTTTAAAAAAAAAAGTCTTGGGATCCCTGGGTGGCGCAGCGGTTTGGCGCCTGCCTTTGGCCCAGGGCGCGATCCTGGAGACCCGGGATCGGATCCCGCGTCTGATTCCTCTCTCTCTCTCTATCATAAATAAATAAAAAAATTAAAAAAAAAAAAAACCATTTTAAAAAAAAAATGTCTTGTGGGGCAGCCCAGGTGGCTCAACGGTTGGGCGTCCGCCTTCGGCCCAGGGCATGACCCCAGGGTCCTGGGATCGAGTCCCACGTTGGGCTCCCTGCATGGAGCCTGCTTCTCCCTCTGCTTGGGTCTCTGTGTCTCTGGTTAATAAATAAATAAAAATCTTAAAAAAAAAAAAGTCTTGTTCAGCTCCATCTCTGTACTTGCGCAGAGGCGGCGTATCTTAAAATGAAGGTTGCTCGGGACACTGCTGCCTTAGAGGGTGGCACCCCTGCCCTTAAGGACAGTGAGGGTAGGGACGAAGGGAGAGAGAGAGGGAGGCTACAGGAGGCGGCAGGCCGGGCCCCGCGCGGGGCCCCGGGGCCTCCCTCGGGCAGAGGAGCAGCGACGCAAGTGCAGGCGGGCACCTGCCGGCGGGACGGGCAAGGCGGCCAGGACCCACTGACGGCGCCCGCCAGCCCGCGCAGTACAGGGGCCGGGGCCGGGGCCGGGGCCGGGGCCGGGGCCGGGGCCGGGGCCGGGGCCGCCGCCGCGCTCCGCAGGTGAGTTCACCTTGAGCTGCTGCGCGGAGGTGGAAGCAGGTTCCGGGGAGCGGCTTCAGCGGCTCTGCCCCCGAGCGCCCCAGAGAGGGGGGGGGCGGAAAAAACAAAAACAAAAACAAAAACAAAACAAAAAAAAAAAGCCAACAACCGTGTTTGGAGACAATACCTGCATTCGGTTTTCCTCCCGTCGCGGGACGCGGGTGGGGGTTGGAGGGCGAGACCCAAGGGGCGGGGCCGCCGCGCGCCCGGGGGCGGGGCCACGCGCGCCCGCCCTCCAGCTACTGGACGCCGCGCGGGAGGGGCGGGGCTTCCGGTGGCGGCGGCGCTCGGGCGTCGGGTGACGCGAGGCGGCCGGGCCGTCACGTGACACGGAAGTGACTACGAACAGGAAGAGGACGAAAAAAATAACCGTCCGCGACGCCGAGCCGAACCGGACCCGCAGCCACCATGAACAGCAAAGGCAAGGGCAGGGGGCGGCCGGGGCCGTCGGGGGGACAGTGCTAGCCTGGAGCGAGCGGGCCCGGAGCCCGGGGTCGCCAAGCGGAGGCTTGGGGCGCGCTGCGCCTCCCTCCCCGGCCGGCTGCGGTCCCGGGGGCCGCGCCAGACGCCTTCGTCATCCCCGAACTGCGGCTGCTCGCTGCTTCCCGGCCCTTTCCTCCTTAAACTCTGTGGCGCAGTTTGGAGCTGCGGGCTCGGGTGGAGGGGCGGGGGGGGTGGGGGGGAGGCTTGTCATGATGGGCACCTGCGGGAGCAAATGGGGAGCTAGAGCAGGGATGCGGGTCGGCCAATGGCGCGCCGGCGGGGGCGGGGCTTCGCGCTCCGGAAGCAGAGGCCGGCGCCCGGGCTTAACCAGTGCGGCGCCGGCGGGCGGGCCCCGGGGCCCCGGGGGCGGGGGGGGGGTGGTGTCCTCCCTCCGCGTGCCTCGCGCGGCCGCCCGAAGTGCCTCTGGCTCCTGGGACGGTGCCGGCGTCGGGCCCCACACGGTCCTCAGCTGTGCCTCTGGACGGTTCCCGTTATCCTCCCTCGGGTCCCGAGGGTTCACGTCCAGCGCGCGCTGTATTCGGAGGTCGACCTTGAGTAGGGAGCCGCGGGGCAAATAACCCGTCACCGCCGTGACCCAACGAGGTCGTGGCTCGGTACAGCCAGGCCTGTGGCGACCACCCGGAGCCGGGGCAGCGCGTCCCTGCCGTTGGGCACGGGCAGGAATGGGGCCCCACACCTGCCCTGCATGGATGGAGAAGCTCGGTGTGCCAGTGGGAGGACTGCCCCGGTAGGAGTAGGGATAAGGGTGCGAAGAGAATATTCTCTTGGCCCCAGAAATCAGCCCCCCCCTCCCCCCCCCCAGAGCGGTCTGTCTACACATCTCCAGCTTGCTGCCCCTAGGGCAGCTACCCAGGATGCTCTGCCCCATTTTGGTGGCTCTGTGTGGTAGGCAACATGAATTTTCTTTTCTTTTTTTTTTTTTTTTTTTCCTTGTCTTCCAGGTCAATATCCAACGCAGCCAACCTATCCCGTGCAGCCTCCTGGGAACCCAGTGTACCCTCAGACCTTGCATCTTCCTCAGGCTCCACCCTATACTGATGCTCCACCTGCCTACTCAGAGGTGCTTCCAGTTTACTAGACTTGAACCCAATGCTCTTGGGTCACATCTTCAGTCCTTAGCTAATAAGCCTGACTCCACCCATATCTATTCAGTGTCCGTAAATAGGAGAAGGGAGGGCTCACGTGAATAGTCTGAAACACTGAACACTTTAGCAATTTCTGTTGGGGTTCAGACTGCATCATCTGATTGTTTCATGTTTGGTTTTTGTTTTTTTTTTTTTTTTTTGGCACCAGGTGAGGTTAAGAAGAGCTCGCGTTCCTTGAGCCTCACGTTAGCTATAGCAGGAAGTGATGCAGGAGGGTACTGAGTGGCAGTGGAAAGGCAGTTTGTGTAACTCAGAGTGTAATCTGCACAAGGACAATCGAGAATTGACGCGTGGAAGGGATCTAAAATCGAAATGTCATAAAGTAACCTGTTGCCTTCTCTTCTAGCTCTATCGTCCGAGCTTTGTGCATCCGGGGGCTGCCACGGTCCCCACCATGTCAGCTGCATTTCCTGGCGCCTCACTGTATCTTCCCATGGCCCAATCTGTGGCTGTTGGACCTTTAGGTTCCACAATCCCCATGGCTTATTATCCAGTTGGTCCCATCTATCCACCTGGTTCAGCAGTGCTGGTGGAAGGAGGGTATGATGCAGGTGCCAGATTTGGAGCGGGGGCTACTGCTGGCAACATTCCTGTGAGTATGACCTTATCAGAACAACTCAGCTCTTATGTATTTTAACTTTTTTTTTTTTTTTTTTTTTTTGTATTTTAACTTTCTGAAGAGATTACATATTCATCCTTTCACCATCCCTGGGTAATAGCTGTGGTATGGGTATAAGCACGGACATCCAGTAGTTGGGCAGAAAGCAGCTGAGGGGGCAGGAGAACTGTGGCAAGTCAGTAGCATCTGGCACATTCCCCGGGGCCTGAGTTAACCAGATTCCTTTGTTTTCCTATACCTCTTTAAAGCATTAGGAGTCCTGCCTGCTGCTTTTGCAGTTCTACTTTGGTACTGGTCTAGTAATACTCCTTATTCAGCCTGTAACATTTACTTCAAATTTGCCATCAGTATGGCATTCCATCAAGAAACCTGATAAAAGAAAAACGTGATGAGTAAAAATGGAGAAAGACACATGATGAGATGAGCACTGTGTGTTATATGTAGGCAACTTGAATTTAAATAATTTTTAAAAACCTGAAAAAAAGTAGAGAAAGCACAGTCCCCTATTAAGTGGAGTTTAGAAAGATACTAGAGATTTTAGTTATGTTGCCTGCTTAGCTCCCCCCTCTATAAGAATTAGAGCCCAGGTGGTCCTTGCCTCAAAGCCATATACCTGAAATGAGGTGAGAATGCCTTTAAATGAGTGGTAGGCTCTTTTTCTGTCTGTACCTTTAGGTTCACAGAGAATATAGACCTGCTTTACAACCCACGTTGGCAGAACTAGCTTTAAGATATGATTGGTCAGGACACTGCCATCTTCCTAATGGATCCTGTTTCACCTGTGTCCACTTCCCTTGTCTCAGCTGCCCTCTGCCCATCAACCTTGTCTTTTCCTTTCAGCCTCCACCCCCTGGATGCCCTCCCAACGCTGCTCAGCTTGCAGTCATGCAGGGAGCCAATGTCCTCGTAACTCAGCGGAAGGGAAACTTCTTCATGGGTGGCTCAGATGGTGGCTACACCATCTGGTGAAGAACCAAGGCCACCTCTATGCCGGGAAAGACATCACATACCTTCAGCACTTCTCACAATGTAACTGCTTTAGTCATATTAACCTGAAGTTGCAGTTTAGACACATGTTGTTGGGGTGTCTTTCTGGTGCCCAAACTTTCAGGCACTTTTCAAACTTAATAAGGAACCATGTAATGGTAGCAGTACCTCCTTAAAACATTTTGAGGTAGGGGAGGCATCCATTCATAAAATGAATGTGGGTAAAGCAGCCCTAAGGATCGTCCTTTAATTCCTCCGGAGTAATACTGTACCATACTGGTCTTTGCTCTTAGTAATAAAACATCAAATTAGGTTTGGAGGGAACTTTGATCTTCCTAAGAATTAAAGTTGCCAAATTATTCTGATTGGTCTTTAATCTCCTTTAAGTCTTTGATTTCTATTACTTGTTATAAATGAAACGCATTAGTTGTCTGCCTTTCCATCCTTTGCCCCATGTCCCACCCTCAACCCTAGTCTTCCAGTTCCTTCCCGCCAATCTCCATTGAATCAATGGTGCAGGACAGAAAGCCAGTCAGACTAACTTCCTTCTCTCCTTGCACTTCTCCCCACTTGCCATCTTTTAACTAGTCTTTCACAAGGATCCTCTGAAACCCCCTCTGTGCCCCAAGCACAGACCCCATTACTTCTGCTTTTGCATCTCCTCAGGCAAAAGTGGAGGGTGCCTCTCTGGACCCTCCTCATAGGTTGTTTCTTCATCTATGAACCAAACCCAAATTTGCTCCGGTGCCAGAAAAACAGAGCTCCATTTGAACAAAGGGTATCCATGCAAACTGTACTGTAAACTGGTTTGTTTAAAATGTGGGGGCAAGGAGGAGGATGCATTTCAAAAGCCTGATGACGTCCGAGCCAAATTAGGGGAAGTTTCCCCATCCAAAAATTGGTTACCAGTTATCAGAGTATCTGATGCAGGCACTCATGGCTCCTGAGAATTCCTCAGCTGGGGTAATGGGGTCATACTATGAATCCCTCACTACAAAATGACTTGAGTCCAGCGAAATCTCATTAGGGTTAAGAATATTTTCAGGGATCCTTAATACTTTGATTTTTGTTTTCTGAAATTGGATTTTATTTTATTTTATCTTATAATTTCAGTTCATCTAAATTTTGTGTTCTGTACATGTGATGTTTGACTGTACCATTGACTGTTATGGAAGTTCAGCGTTGTACGTCTCTCTCTACACTGTGGTGCACTTAACTTGTGGATTTTTTATACTAAAAATGTAGAATAAAGACTATTTTGAAGATTTGAATAAAGTGATGAAGTTGCATTACACCTCACCTCAAGGATTCTTTACTCAACTTGTTTTTAGATTTCTTCTCTCTTTATCTTTTATGTCCCACCTAGGATTCAGATAGGTGCTGCTGTCATTTCGGGGTTTTTAAAAAAGATTTTATTTATTAGAGGGAGAGCATGAGCGGGAGGGAGGAGCAGCCAGCACGGTACCTGATGGCAGGGCTCCATCCCAGGACCCCGGGATCATGACCTGGGGAGCTAGGATTTCTATCAAAACACTGTCTTTTAAACACATCTCATTTGGGGACTAAGATCCAAGGAGCTTCTCGGCTTGATTCAAAGGGCACTGGTGGGAAAAGTGGTAAGGAGATGGTTGCTGGTTCCCTCTGTGTAGACCCAGCATGGGTCAGGGAAGGGGCATCTGGGGGGCTTAGTTGGTTAAGCATCTGCCTCTTCAGCTCAGGTCATGGTCCTGGGGTTCTGGGGCCAAGCCTTAAGTTGGGTTCCCTGCTCAGCTCCCTGCTTCTCTCTCTCTGCCCCTCCTCTCCTCACTCATGCTTTCTCTTGTCTGCTCTCTCTCAAGTAAATAAATAAAATCCTGAAGAAAAAAAAAAGGTCTGGGAAATTCTAGTCCTTGCCAGGGTGAAAGGTAACCATTTCATCTCCCAGGGTATGTTTCTGATGAGACTCCCCTGGGACAAGTTTCTCACGACCGTCCTGTTTCAAACTCCTGAGATTGTTCTGGGAACTTCTGAAACTTCTCTGGGGTTTTGTTTGTTTGGGAGAGAACGTATGCCAAGCAGTTAAATAAGCAAAAGAAAATGTCCATAAAATTTAAGCACGGATACGTCAAAATATAAAGGTAGTTACTTTTTGCACATGAGAATCGGATTTCTTTACCAATGAACCTTTTTAATTGTGATAAAAATAGCATCAGTATATGGTGGTTGGGGAATAATGGAAAGGAAGGGCTCAGGTGAGGAGATACAGCACATTCATCAGGGGGTGGGGTCTTTAGTCTCCTGCCCCTCCCACTTGGCCTTTTACCATGGTATCCAGCACCTGGGAAGAACTTCTCCACACACTATTTCTGCTCAGGCTGTCCCTAGTTGACCAGGCAGGGGACAGAGAAGCAGCCAGTGGGCCTAACTCTCCTTCCCTTCGACCGTGAAAACTGAAGATGACCGGGCACATAACTCATGGTGGCCTGGTGTCGCTCCACCTCGTTGGGCAGCCGCAGAAACCAGCTATACTACAAAGGCCTGGTTAGAGACCCCATAAATAGCTTTCCCTGGGTCCCTGGCATCAGTCATGTTGGCATTTGGGCCTGTGTCCTAGACGGAGCTCAGGTCTGCTCGTATCAGTCGATGCTTCTCACTGGCTTCAGATAAAACTTTCACCTAATAAATAGTGTGTTAGCACTGGAGCCTGAATGAGCTCCTCGGGGCCGGGAATCATCAGATGAAATACTCCTCCTTGTCCCTGCCCTTGGCTGAGTCACTCTCCATTTGGAGGATGGCGCTGGGCTCGCCTTCTGCAGGTTCGTAGGTGACGTAGCTGCCTTTGTTCTTGTACAGGTAAAAGAAGATCAAGATCACGACTGAGAGCAGGGTGAGGAAGACCACGGTGATAACCACTTGGAAAGGAGAGGGAAAATGCAGAGATGTTTCAGGATTGAGGAGGTCTCAGTAATTCACGGGGCCCCCTGAATTCAATGATCCCCTCACTTTTTATAAGCATCCTCCTGTTCTGGTTAAGCAGCATCCAGTTCCAAATCCACATTCCCCCACGTGTCCAACTTCCATGGTGCATGATTATCTGGAGTATCCTAGTGCTTAAGCTAAGGACACAGGGCTTTTGATTTCTAACAGGACAATTCCCTCTCAACCAGTTCGTGAGGATTCTGATAGAAACAGGAAGGGGGGCGGGGAGGAAATAGCTTGTTCCAACGGGAAGGCATTTTAAAATCCACAGCCTCCTGTAGGGATTTCTCTGATCCCTCCCCTCCTCGTCCTCCCCCACTTGACAAACCACACATATCCTCATCCCTACCCACATACTGGAGTGTAGTGCCTGTACACACTTACATCTATTTGTGGCCACTTCCCACGTTTACTGGCAGTGTCTCTGGCGTGAAGCCTCTAAGAGTCTTTTATAGCTGTGTCTGTGTGTGTGTGTGTGTGTAAGATAACCTACATGCCAAAACGAGCCTATTAATGGATTTGGTCTCCAATTTGCGGTGCTTTCCTGCACAGGGAAAGTCCTCAATCACCACACCGGGTTCCCAGTCAACGGAGCGAGATGGCCCTTGAATTCACTCAAAAAGTCTCTTGGATTTGGCTCTGGGCCTTTGTTACCTGCAATGAGGGCTGTGCTGGCCTCGGCTTCTGGGGACAAGGCTTCAGTGGCCTGCAGAATTGGGGTAGTCATCGGGTCCTCTGGAAAATTTAGAAAAGTGAAAAAAGGAAATGGGGTGAATTCCTTTGTTCTAAAACATACACTTGTCCTTCAAACTTCACCACCCTACCACTTTTCTAATAAAAAATTCATCGTTCAACTCCTATAGTACATCCATATAGAAAAACCTGGAGAACAGAATAGAAAATAAACTACCATCCCAAGACATTGAGCATTTTGATGGGGTTTCTCTCTGCCTGATACAGTGGTTAAGAGTATGGGCTCTGGAGCCTAGCTGCTGAGGTTCGAATCTGAGCTCTGTCCTTTACTGGCTGTGTTACCTTCAGAAAACTATCCTAACCCCTCTGTGCGTTGGCTTCTTCATCTGCAAAACAGAGATAACAGTATCTACTCTATAGGGTAGTTGTACAGGTACTCAATAAGAGTAAACTATTATTACAAATGCATACTTTTACATAGATAAGATCAAATAATGAGGGATCCCTGGGTGGCTGAGCGGTTTAGGTTTAGCGTCTGCCTTCGGCCCAGGACGTGATCCTGGAGTCTCAGGATTGAGTCCCACATCAGGCTCCCTGCATGGAGCCTGCTTCTCCCTCCGCCTGTGTCTCTGCCTCTCTCTCTGTCTCTCATGAATAAATAAATAAAATTTTAAAAAAAGATCAAATAATGAGCATATACACACACACACACATTATATGGGCACATGCATTTCTTTAATGTTCTTACAAAACTCTTTGTAAACATTATTTTTACTTAGTTTTTTTTTAAATTGTAGTTATAAAAATAGGCTCCATGCCCAACATGAGTCTCAAACTCAGGACCTTGAGATTGAGAGTCACGTATTCTGCTGACTGAGCCGGCCAGATGCCCCAACATTATTATTTCTAAAGATTTTATTTACTTATTCATGCGAAGCAGAGAGAGAGAGAGAGAGAAGCAGAGACACAGCCAGAGGGAGAAGCACGCTCCATGCAGGAGCCCAATGTGGGACTCGATCCTGGACCCCGGGATCACGCCCTGAGCCAAAGGCCCCAAAATTATTTTTAAATAATGAAATAATGTTTCTCCCTTATTAACACCCTTTCCTACACTACTTCAGAGTAGGCCCTGTATCTGAAAGGTTCTGAAACAAGGCTTCTCCTACTCTAAAATATATCTCATACCTTCTTCTGCTATTGGTCTATCCATCCTTTACAGCCTGAAAGTCCCACCCCTGAAGTCACTACCCAGGGTCGGAACACTCAGAACTACTGGTCTCCAGAAGTCCCTTTGAAAAGAATTTACGTGGGCGTTCAGGGAGTCCTTTAGTTGTGTTCCTAGTTAGCATCGTAGTGTAGGGATTTGAAAAGGCACCGGGTTAAGGTTACTGCGGGACAAGGTATCCTGGGGAAAACCGGCTGGCCGACCGGAATCGCCCACAGGAGGCCTTATTCAATATTCGTTCAATAAATAATAATAGCAGCACTCACTGACAGGTACTGGGCTAGGCGCGCTGGGGATAGGATGGTCAGCGCAAGGCCCGCCTTCGTGGAGCGGACCCTCCACCACGCCCTGGCTAACGACAGCGACACAGGAGACCGAGGCAATAAGAGGCCTGCAGGAGGGCATGGGACAGAGGGCCTTGATCGAGTCTCCCGGGGGGTGGGACTGCAGCTGGGAGCTGAAGCGGGGCTAGGAGTCGACAGGGTAGAAGGGACAAGGGGCAGGGCACACTCTAGGCCGAGCGCAGAGCCTGGGTCGACGCCCCGGGACAAGAGTCGGCGCGGCTGGAGCTCAGGGCCGGAGCAGGACTCCTGTCTAATGCCTGACGCCGGCAGGCTCCCGCCTGGGCAGGTGACACGAAGTCAGCAGCGGTAGGCCTGGGCTGGGCCTGGGGCCGGGAGCGCAGAAGGGGCCACTGGTATGGGCCGTGTCTTTACACAGGCCGAGAGGCCCCGGCAACAGGGGAGGCGCCGGCCGCCTAGGGCACCCCCTCTGCGGTCCTCCCAAAGCCTGAACCCCAGCAGGAAGCAACCACACAGGGACGCTGTCGAAGCTGCTGGGGTGGAAGGTCGCCCAGGAAGCGCCTAGGCACTTAAGGAAGTTACCAAACCTCTCCGAGCTTCAGTTTCTTGAGCAGCAGGCAGCTTGGGAGGTGGTTCTGGATGGTTCCTGCCGCTGGTGTTTACACCGGGGAGCGCCCCCCCCCCCCCCCCCCCCGTGGGGCCTGGACCCAGGCACTTGCTTCTAAGGAACAGAGCACAGCCAAAGTGACGGGCTGTCACACTTCCGGGGTCACACTGTGCTGCCTCCTGCCTCGGACTCCCAGGGCCTGCACTCCCTCTTGCCACCATCGCTCTAGAATTCTGTGCAGATGCTCTTTGTTTTGTCTTAAACATTAGAAAACTTAAGATATGCGAAGCGCTGAGAAAAATCATTTAAGTGCAGAAGCCTAAGTGTGAGGATTAAGGAGATTAGGTTCAATCAATCAACAGCAATTTCCTTTGCTCCTACCACGTGTCTGCCGGAGGCACAGTCCAAGATGCGGAGAGAGTGGCAGCGATGAGGCCCACGAGGGACGGGACCATGGAGCTCAAGCTCAGTGAGGGTTCAGAGGATAGATACACGCGACTCCCAGAGGTGGGAGGTGATTGCTAGTTGGGAAATTCTGCAAATGATCCCAATTATTATTATTTTTTAAAATATTTTATTTATTTATTCATGAGAGACGCACAGAGAGAGGCAGAGGCACAGGCAGAGGGAGAAGCAGGCTCCACACAGGGAGCCCGACGTGGGACTCGATCCCAGGACCCCGGGATCACGACCTGAGCTGAAAGCAGACGCTCAACCCCCGAGCCACCCAGGCGCCCCAAACGATCCTAATTATAACAGCTGCCATTTACCAAGTCCTTGCTTGGCACTGGGTGCTTTATATACATACTCACTAACCCTTAAGCGTCAATCACTTCAAAGTGGATGTTTTTATTTGCTAATGTGGACCGCCAGGCCCTGGGAGAGTTAAGTGACATGGCTCATATCACACATGAAGGAACAGTGCATGGAGCCAAGATCTGAATCCATGGCTACCGGCTCCAAAGCCCAAGCAAGGTATTTATACTAACCCTTCCTATTATGGTCCTTTTATTTTTTTCCAGTAGGGAACAAGGGGAAGAGATCATTAAATATGACCATGGGGCAGCACCACAAGCTTTCCAGAAAGCTCGAGGGTTTAAAAAATAGGGGTAAAGGTGGAAGAAACACCAGCCAACCACAATCAACTACACACTGTTGCGCCACAAAAAGCGCGTCCTTAATGCGAACTGGCTCAAGGGTCCCTGGTAGGTGGGGAGCGATGCCAGCGTAATGGGGAAGCCGTGATGCTTCACAGACCACCTTGCTACAACTAGATACAGAAACACAGAAAGACCTTCAGAGACAAACAATTCAAGGCACCTGGTGGCTCAGTCGGTTAAGCGTCTGCCTTTGGCTCAGGTCATGATCCTGGGGTCCTGAGATCAAGGCCCACATTGGGTTCCCTGCTCAGCGGGGAGCCTGCTTCTCCCTCTCCCTCTGCCCCATACCCTCACCTCCTCCATCCCCCCAATTCACCCAGCCCCATTCCTGCTCCCACTCATGCTTTTTCTATTCCATTCTCTCTCAAATAAATACATAGAATATTTTTAAAAAGATCTGAAAAGGGCAGCCTGGGTGGCTCAGCAGTTTAGCACCACCTTTAGTGCAGGGCCTGATCTTGGAGACCTGGGATCAAGGCCCAGGTCGGGTTCCCTGCATGGAACCTGCTTCTCCCTCTGCCCAATCTCGGTCTCGCGCTCTCTCTCTCTCTCTCTCTCTCTCTCTCTGTGCTCATGAATAAATAAATAAAATCTTAAAAAAAAAATCTAAAAAAAAAAAAAGAAAGAAAGAAAGAAAGAAACATACAAGTCAATAGAAGTGCCTTCCTTGGATACAGTTATTGGCTGGTTTCTGCTTACATTAAGCCATCTGGTGAAGCAGTTAAGTACAAATGAAGGAGGTACAAATAAATTTACCTCTATATGAAACCAATGGATTAATGAAGAATAAATAAATAAAATCACACATCAGATTTTTATTTCTGATGAAAACGGTCTCTGTTTTCAAGCAAAGGCTCTCTGGAATCTACTTCTAAAAAGAGGAAGCACACACCTCAGGAATAAAGGCTCATCCATTTTGTAGCATGTGTCAGAATTTCCTTTGTTTTTAAGGCTGAGTAATATAACAAAGGAAGTTCTGACATATGCTACAAAGTGGATTCCACTTACATGAGGTTCCTAGAATAGTCAGAGCCACAGGGACAGGAAGCAGAATGGAAATGGGCACAGAAGGGATGGGCAGTTACTATTTTTTTTTTTTTAAGGTTTTATTTTTAAGTAATCTCTCCACCCAACGCGGGGCTTGACCTTACAACCCCAAGATCAAGAGTTGCATGCTCTACCGACTGGGCCAGCCAGAGGCCCTGGGATGGGAGCTGTTGTTTAATGGGTACAGAGTGCAGTTTGGGAAGATGAAAAAGTGCTGGAGATGGATGGATGGTGGTGAAGGCTGCACAACAGTGTGAATGGACTTCATGCCACAGGACTGTATACTTCAATATTGTCAACTTTATGTTACGTATGAATTTACTATATACCTTTTTCTTCATACAGTTTACATTCTGGGAAGATGGACAATAAATAAAATAAGTACGTAAAATATACATTTATTATTATTTTTATTTTTTAAAGATTTATTTATTTATGATAGACAGAGAGAGAGAGAAAGGGGCACAGGAGGAGGGAGAAGCAGGCTCCATGCCGGGAGCCTGACGTGGGACTTGATCCCGGGACTCCAGGATCGCGCCCTGGGCCAAAGGCAGGCGCCAAACCGCCGAGCCACTCAGGGATCCCCCAAGATACATATATTAGATGTGGATTAGTGCTATGTAGAAAAAAAGAGCAGGAAGGGGTAGGGGGTTGGCATGTGGACAGGGGTGGTCAGGAAGTCTTCCTGATAAGGCGACCTG